ATGTTCCCAGTATTCCCCAGCTGTGGAAGCGTTTACCCTAAGGGTCCATGTACCTTATAATTATATACTTGGGCCCAAAAGTCCTTAAAAAAGGAAGTACTTTAAGGCCCAAGTATTCCCTATTTAGGTACATGGACCCTTAGGGTTACAGCGAAACCAGAAGAAGCATGCAAACCTTCAGATCTTCCAATGTCCTTAAAGGGCGTAGGTACTGTACTTAAGTCACCCCTAACCCGAAACCCTAAACCTAAATCCTGAAACCCCTAACGCCCCTTCCTAGTACTCCCTCAGAAAAGGTTCCCCGCTTTTTCTAAACCCTGAACCCTAACCCTTATTGACCCCCAGCACCGGTTGAACTCCGCACAGGCTCTATACACCCCATTTCAAGTACCTGTTCTTAACACACACGGGCTCAGGCTACCCTAAACCTGAAACCCTTAACAAACCTGAAGCCCTAAACCCTAAACCCTAAACAGCCTGGCCCCACACCAAAGCAACCGTACGGTCGGTTTCCTTTGTAGTTAGGAACCTTTATCCCATGGTCCGTGCCTTTACGGGACCTTTATGTCAGGCCGCCCCAAGCAACTGTAGAACGTGTTGCTTCGGGTTGAGGATTTAAGGGTTCAGGGCTTAGGGTTGCAAATTGCTTGATACGGTCTAACAGGGTTGCAGGGGACAGGCTTGGAAGCAGAGATGTATAGGGCCTACCTGGGACTGGGCATGGATAAAATTCATAGTAATCAAAGGCTACGAACTACCAAAGCTGAATGGAAATCAGGCATAGGGGATCCGAAGTATGGGCCCTTAATTTGGGTCCCTTGCTCAATAAACCCTAATATACACCATATATAATAAGGGCCCATACTTCGGATTCCTATAAACAAAGGTAAGGGGAAAACAGTAAGCAAGGGCTACTAACTACCAAGCTGAATGCAGATCTTAAACCCTAAGCCCTAAGCCCTAAGCCCTAAGCCCTAAGCCCTAAGCCCTAAGCCCTAAACCCTAAACCCTAAACCCTAAGCCCTAAACCAAATCAGGCATCAAAAGAACAAACCCCGGGTTTCGGGTACTTAGTCCGGGGATGCCAAGAAGGGCCCGAAAAAATGTTTCAGCCCTGAACCCTGAACCCTGAACCCCAAAACTAAACCCTAGGGTTTAGGGCGTCATGGCCTCTTGGTAGACTCGACCCGTGGACGCGAAAGCTGCTTTTGCCTCGCCAGTACCATGAACCCAAGAGGTCTACTTAGGGTTAGGTCTTGGGGTTTAGGGTTTAGGGCTTAGGGGTTTTTTTCAAATCACCCAGCGTAGGCATCTAAACCCCCAAGCCCCTTTCACTCGGGAATATACCTTGAACGTAAACTGGGCTTCTTGTTGCTTGTTCACCGAATTGAGGGGTTTGCGCGGGCCGAGGTCTTGGCAGTATCTGAAGACTCTGGAGACTTCGAAATCCCAAACCCTGATCCCGATTCTTTGCGCATTTGGAGTTCATGAGTTAAGCCCTAGCTGGCACCCGAAAAACAACTACAGATTAGTGATTTGTAGGTTCTAACCCGTTAACTACAGGTATAGGGTATAAGGGTTTAGTAAGTTGCCGGTACATCGAAGTCCAGGTAGGCCCTAAGCCTTCAACCCCTCCTGAACCGTGAACCCTAAACCCTAAACCCTAAACCCTAAACCTTAAACGCTTAAAAAGCCTTACACCCAGATTTAAGCCTTGGCCCTTTGCAGGGGCACACCCTGAGGGAATCGCGATTGAGGATTCCTAGGCTTAGGGTTTAAGAGTTAAGGGTTTAGGGTTTAGGGCTTGAAGACTTAGTGCCTATGTAGGGGTTGAGGGTTTAGGGTTGAGGGTTTAGGGTTTAGGGTTTAGGGTTTAGGGTTTAGGGTTTAGGGCTTGAAGATTTAGTTATGTAGGGGTTTACCGGGGGCTCCTACTGACTTCAGCTAGGCTTTGGGTCTCAACTTGGGCTTGACTTGGGTTTTGGCTGAACCCTAAACCCCAAACCCCAAGCCCTAAGCCCTAAACCCCAAGCCCCAAACCCCAAACCCTAAACCCTAAACCCTAAACCCTAAACCCTCGTGGCGCTTCTGCGCCAACGTCGTGTTCTCTGCGCGCGCATGGATCGCGCGGCACCTCTGGCTCAATCATCAGGCGTTGCTGTAGATGGTTTAGGGATTTAGGTTTAGGGTTTAGGGTTTAGGGTTTAGGGTTTAGGGTTTAGGGGTTAGGGGTTAGGGGTTAGGGGTTAGGGGTTAGGGGTTAGAGCCTAGGGTTAGCCGAAACCCTAAAAACCATAAACCCTAAACCCTGAACCCTACTTAGGTTTAGGGTTTAGGGTTTAGGGTTTAGGGTTTAGGGTTTAGGGTTTAGGGTTTGCGGTTTAGGGGCCCAACACTGCCCAGCCCCGATGACTTCAGACGCATGGCTCTTGCAGAGATGGTGGACTGTACGACTACGGTCAGGGATCCTTATGGAAAGGGTTGAGGGGCGGGGGGGGAGGGAGGAGGGGTGAGGGGGCGTATTGCATCACATGATGAGAAATGGTAGATTCCTAGTAGAGTCTCAATCAGGTCCCAAAGAAACGTTCTTCAGCTTCCCATGAAGCAAAAGAAATGGGTGCCCTTTTTCCCTCCCCCTAAGGGTCCATGTACCTAAATAGGGCTTTAGGGCCCAAGTACAGAATAATAAGGTACATGGACTCTTAAACTCCGTTTTGATTCATATGTGTTTACCATGTATATATGTATATATATATATATATATATATAATGTATTGCCTCCCGCACCCTACGAACCGTGAGCACAAGCTGAAGCAACGGCAAAAGCACCAGCGAAAGCAGGAAAAAACATGACAGGGAATGATCACAGATGTGTTGTATGAAAACTTGTGCTGTTTCTGCTGAGACTGTTTGTGCTCCTGCCGGTGCTGTTTCTGGAAGTTGCGCTGTTTCTGGGGCTACTTCATGTGCTGCTGATTGCGCAATTGTTTGTGCTCCTGTTTCCAAAGTGGTTCGCATTCCTGGTGCTCTTTTTCGCTTGAGCGATATATACAAACCTAAACCCTAACCCCCCTAAACACCAAACCCCCCTAGGAGGCGAATCTACATCCCGCTTAGAATCTTAATACGAATGGTATTTTCTGTTCCCTTGGGTTCTATAAAACCCTAAACCCTAAACCCTAAGCCCAATCTCCAAAATGGGCGGAACTGCCATACTAGCGCAGCATGGGATCCCTGCACACCCAGCTTGAGGGTTTAGGGTTTAGGGACTCTCCCGCCCAAAGCCCTGCATTTCGAACCCAGAAAAGGATCAGGGTTTAGGATTTAGGGTTAGGGTTTAGGGCCTCGGGTTTAGGGTTTAGGGTTTAGGGCTTAGGGCTTAGGGTTTAGGGTTCAGGGTTTAGGTCTAGGAAGAAAAGGCCTAGCACGACAGAGCCGAACGACACACGCACCCCGACTTTTCATGCCTCTACATCCAAAGTGTTGACAACCCTCAGCACTCTAAACCCTTGTGCCCTAAAACCCTAAACTATAAACCTGAAACCCAAAAGTGACAACCCTGAACCCTACATCATATTACCTCAAGCCCGAATAAGCCCAAACCCAAACCCTAAACCCTAAACCCTAAACCCTAAACCCTAAACCCTAAACCCCTAAACCCAAGATGTGCCCAGACACCGGCCCCAGTGTCGCGGCGCGAGCGCGCGCACAGATCGGATGGCAACGTGCCGCTGCACCGCAAGCATGGGCCGGCCATCACAAAGAAATCAGGATTTAGGGGTTTAGGGTTTAAGGATTAGGGATTAGGGTTTAGGGTTTCGGGTGTAGGGTTTCTGGGCCCTCGTTAAGGAACGTTCTGTTTTTGTGGTGTGTTGTGCTTGAGTGGTTGGCGTGGTCTTGGAGCAGCACCACCACCCTGAATCCTGGCAGAGTTTCGGCATGAGTAGAGTGCAAACCCTAAACCCCGGGTTCAGCGGGCCCCGCACCGTCTGCCGAATCTACCTGTCTTGTGTGGGGGGTGTAACCCACTAGTGGTTGTTGGGGCTAAAGGCTACAAGGGATACGCTGCACCCAAAACCTCCAGAGGCCAAAGGCCCTGAGCTATGAATACACCCTACAAGATGTACTCAGCAATCCTACCCTGTTATAGAGTTATCGAGCAGGCATGTGTAGGCTTTTGGGGTTTAGGGTTTAGGGTTTAGGGTTTAGGGTGGAACAAAACTCCAACCCTAAACCCTAAACCCGAACCCCATACACAGCCAAGGTCTTTAGTGGGGTTGGAACTCTGCCTTCGCCCTGTGCTGTAGGCAATCTGCAAGAACGTGCTCCCGGTCTAAGCAAAGCCCCAGATCTCATAGGGGTGGGGTTTAGGGTTTAGGGTTTAGGGTTTAGGGTTTGGGGTTTAGGGTTTAGGGTTTAGGGTATCATGGGGGGGGCAGGTACCTGGGGGACCTTACGGCTTAGGGAGTAGTGCTAGGGAACCTCCCTTCAGAACCCGCCCTAAGGGTCCATGTACCTTATAATGATGTATTTGGGCCCAGAAGTCCTTATATAGGAAGTACTTTAAGGCCCAAGTATTCCCTATTTAGGTACATGGACCCTTAGGGCCTATAAGATCTCTGAGCGTTCTGAGGTTTGGGGTTTGCTCGAGCTCGGGCAGCCCTGCAAGCTCGAGGGGTTTTACTTTGGACCCTTAAGGTTGTACCCTTGGGTTTTGGGGGAACGATCCTAAGGGAAATCTTGAGTGGTGGAACCTTAGGGGTGCGAGCCAGACCCTAATCCCTCAAGTACCATACCGCAAAGCCTTTTCTCCCCGCAGACCCTGCATCAAAGCCTGAAGCCTGAATTGCACAGAACCTCCTAAACCCCCTTAATTCGTGAATCTTCCCAAACAAAAACTGAAGAACTCTTCAATAGCTTAAAGACTTGTTGAGGGCTTCCTAAGCCCTAAGCCCTACCTCCCCCTGCTGGCTCCGGACGGAGAACTCTAAGGCCACCACTTTTCCAGTTGGGGACATTCCATCTGCACGGCTTGGGTTTCAAGGTTTATATAGGGTTTAGGGTTAGCTTGGAGGTTCATGGTACTTATTAACCAATTGTAACTGTATTTATGATCCCTTTATAAGCCCCTTATGTGCCCTAATATGGTTCTAAGTACCGTTATAAGTTCAGCTATAGTTGGTTAATAAGTAGCATGAACCTCCAAGTAGGGTTTATAGTGCCTATAGTGTTTATTGTGCTCAAAGGGGTTACCTGGCTAAGGTCCGCAGACTCCAAATCTTGAACCCCAATGCCTAAACCTCAAACCTACAGACAACCCTTCAACTCTCAAGGCAAGTCTCCAAAACCCTGGAAACAGCCTAATTAGGGTTCAGGGTTTAGGGACTGAAAGCACCCGAACAAGCCCGAATCCCTAAACCTCAAAACCCGCCAAAAAGCCTTTCACCTTTGCACCTCCGGCGTAAGACACTCATCCCAAAAAAACTGGCCATTATAACCAACAAGCCATCTTTCGGGTCTAGGGCTTCAGGGTTTAGGCTTAGTGTTTGGGGTGACCTTTCGGCGGGACCGACGGTCTGTAAAACCCTAAACCCTAAACCCTAAACCCTATAAACCCTAAACCCTAAACCCTAAACCCTAAAGATCCCGGCACCGAAGGCGAAGCCAGGACTTCTGCAGTTCATGCTTTCGCAGCTTCAATGTCATGAAGCGCTCCCAGGGATCAGCAGCCAGGCCAAGATGAGGGTTTAGGGTTTAGGGTTTAGGGTTTAGGGTTCATGAGGCAACCATCATGGCAAAAACTCTGGCATTACATCGCCTCATCGTTGCCGCCGCGTCCTAAGACGTGCCTGTCAGGTGAGGTGCAGTCTTCGAGCAGTGTGCGCCAGCGGGCGCCATCGATGGGCTCCGAAACTTCAAGGCCCGACCGACACAGCTCATTGTGAGAGTAAGGTACCGGGTATGGGTTTAAGAGGGGGTGCTTGCTTCGGGTTTTCGGTTTAGACCCTATAAGCCGTGTAAAACCCCAGCAACCCCAAAAACCGTGCAAAACCCCTCTGTCGGGCGCACAGAACCCATATGTCGCAAGCCACGCCCATTGGTATCCCTGTCTCTAGAGCAGCTTCATGGAGACCGCTTCCAGCATGAGCCCCAAACCCCAAACTCCAAACCCCAAACCCTAAACGGTTTTAGGGCCTAAGGAGGAATTTGGTGAAGGGCCTTCGAATGGAACCTGAACCCCAAAAAAGGGAACAAGGGCCCACTTTGGGTGCTAGGGTTTGGTGTTTAGGGACTCAGGGTTGAATGTTTAGGGTTAGGGTTTAGGGTTTAGGGTTTAGGGTTTAGGGTTTAGGGCTAGGGTTTAGGGTCGCATATTTGGTTTAGTCGGGAAACCCTAGAGGTCTGTTCTTGGACAGTACGTCCAAACTCGCCAACCGTTCCCGGTGTACTTGAAGGCTCCAATGTAGTTCCTTTTGGGGCTGGTAATGCAGGCTTCTCGTATACTACACCACAGTCTGCATGAGGAGCCTTTCAGTCAGGGTAACCCTAAACCCTAAACCCTAAACCCTAAACCCTAAACCCTAAACCCTAAACCCTAAACCCTAAACCCTAAACCCTAAACTCTACCAACCCTAACACCCTCCGAGAGCGCCTTCGCCCAAGCCAGCGCAGCACCACTTCGCGGTGGCGCTCGGAGTCAAGGGGGCCCTGAGCTCACGACTGCAGCAGGGGGTTTATAGGGTTTAGGGTTTAGGGTTTGGGGTTTGGGGCTTAGGGTTTGGATTTAGGGTTTAGGCTTAAGGGTTTAGGGATTAGGGATGGGTTTAGGGTTTGTCTGGAGCCCAAAAGTTTGGTCAGTAGGGCAAAATCACACTCTATCTCTTCCACATCGAACACCGGCTCGTCGTTTTTGTCGGGATGGTGTGCCAAGAGGGCCCGCCGGCGATGCTGCACCAGCAGGCCAGCGTCTACATCCTCTGTGCATGTCAGCCCCAAAAACCCATGGGTTTCACTACTACCCCCCCTCTAAACTACCCCCCCCCCTGGATTCCCCCCTTTAAATGACCTTGATTAGGCCTAATTATCCTCAAATGGCCTGAATAATTGGGGGAGCCTTGGGTGGTACAGGGGGGGAGGGAGGAGTAGGGAAACCCATGGAAAAACAACCATCGCCCATTCTCGGTTCTGAACCGCAGGAGTGCGGTCAGTCGACGTGAGGAGAGGCACTTGGAGGTTCATGGTGCTTATTAACCAATTCTAACTGTACTTATAACCCAATTCTAACCACGTTAGGGCACTTAACAGGCTTATAAGTGGGTCATAAATGCAGATATAATTGGGATATTAAGTACCATGAACCTCCAATTGGGAGAGAGTAGGAAAGGACCTGGGAGTCAGGACGGCTTCATCAGGGAAGTTTTTCAGGCAGGAGATATTTTGCTGAAAGCTCTCTCAAGAGGGTGTCTCAGGATTCTGGAAGGACCCACTGAAAATGCCCCAGAGCTCCAACAAAACTTTACTAAACGCTAAACCCTAACCCGGGGAAACCAGTCATGTGGGGTTCGGTTGCCACCCCGTCTCAGGACCCCAAACACTAACCCTAAAGCCTAAACCCTCCACCCTAGACCCTGGACAATAAACCCTAAACCTCCCCCTTTTACTTATGGGCTCAGGCTTCAGGGTGCATTCGTCTACTATTTGGTTAAGAAACACTAACAGAAGTCAAAAACAAAAGTCCTTACAAGGGCAACATAGGTATGATTATCGCTTTTTAGGTGGGTCCTTAAGCAAAAAGTCGTTTAGGGTCTTTAGGGTCATTCTTGCAGTTGCTAGGAGAACCCCATAAGAGGAATGTCAGCGGCGCATTAGTATCATGGGTTCCTCTACTACCCTTCTCTACTCTACCCCCCCTAGGTCCCCCCCCCCGCCCCCACAATGAAGGCTTTTCATTGAAAATTAAGCCTATTGAAGGTTTTTGTTAAAGGGGGAACCTAGAGGGGGGTAGTATAGAGGGGGGTAGTAGGGGAACCCATGGTAAACCCTGCCCTGAACCCCTAAACCCTAAACCCTAATTGGGTTAACAAGTACCACGCACCTCCAAGTAAGGTTCTTCTTCTATCTTCGAGGCATCTTCCCGAAGCCAGGGGTTTTGGAGGTTCCGGGGCTCTCGCAGCTGCATTCGGCTTTAAGACTCTGGAGGCACCCAAACCCTAAACCCAAAAACCCAAAACCCCAAACACCGTAAACCCTAAACTCCTAAACCCTAAACCCCAAACCCTAAACCTAAACCCTGAGCCTTAAGCCCTAAGCCCTGAAGCCCCTTGAGAAGCTGGGGTCGATGCCCAGGGAGGGACGATGTAGGGAGCTGTGTACTCCTCAACGCCCTCGTTGCGTGTCACCTTGCTGTTCTTGATCAGGGGTTTAGGGTTTAGGGTGTGGGGCTTAGGGTTTAGCGTTTGGGGTTTAGGGTTCGATTTAGGGTTTAGGGTCAAGGTTGTAAGGTTTAGGGTTTAGTGTCTATGTTTAGGGCACACCGTGACGGTGACAACAAGCTTGTTCAAAAGTATGGTACCCTAAGGGTCCATGTACCTCATCATTATGTACTCGGACCTTACAGTCCCCACATGGGAGGTGCTGTAAGGCCCAAGTCTTCCCTACTTAGGTACATGGACCCTAAACCCTAAACCCTAAACCCTAAACCCTAAACCCTAAACCCTAAACCCTAAACCCTGAACCTCAAACCCTAATGGGATAAGGTTGGGAGTTGAGGGTTCCGGGTTTAAGGTTGCTCCGCAGAGACTCTCAACAATGGTATAAGGAGCCCTCGAAGGGACCCTGAATCTTATTCCCCTAGACAGCCCCTGTATATACCATATCTAATCCCTATATACCTAGGTCGCCCCTAAATAACCCCTTGATGACTCCTATACGGTCCCTTATACGGGTCCCTCCTTTCGCCCCTTGAATGGTATAAGGGCTTCCCCTTGCAAACCCCACGTTCCCAGGGCCCTGCAGAGCCTCCACAACGGGTTTAGGGTTCAAGGTTATCGTGCTGAGGCTTTGGCGTGTGGGGTGCAGGGCTTGGGGCATGTAGGATTTGGGTTTAGGGTTTGGGATTTAGGGCTTTTTTTTGGTTCTGGGGTTCAGGCTGCTAGGGTTTGGTTCAGTTTGGGGTTGGAGGTTTTGGGAGTAGGTCGACCATAGATCCTGCCCTAACCCCAACCCTGTTAACCTTGCAAGCCCTACAAACCCTGTGAAAGCCTATAAGCCCATAAGACCTAAGCCAACCCCCGGATATCCCGTGTACCCGACCACGAGACCACCGAGGTTGCGGCCTGCAGCAGTACTTGGTTCGCATCGGACCGCAAGGCTTCGCCCAACTCGGCACGCGGAATTCCTAAACCCGAACCCTAAACCCGAAACCCAAACCCTAAACCCTAACCCCATACAAATCGAAAATCAACAGGCATGTAGAGCTTGTTGTTGCAAAATTGGTGCCTAAACCCTAAACCCTAAACCCTTAACCCTTAACCCTAAACCCTAAACCCTAAACCCTAAACCCTAAACCCTAAACCCTAAACCCTAACGACCGAGCAGGTGTCTGCGATGAGGTCTTCTGACCTCCCGACAAGTCAGGCCGACCGAGGTATTCTCGATGATCTGGTGGTGTCCATGCTGCAGTTAACGATCCCTGAGGCTCCATTCTCATGGGCTTAAAGTATTTCCTATATAGTGACTTTGCAAAAGAGGCCCAAGGATATAACATTGAGGTACTTGGACACTTAACGGAACAAAAAGGGTAGTTCTCTAAACTAAGGTCCCTTTTGAAAACTACCCATTTTGTGATGTTTCGCATGGGCTTCACGGCGAGATCTCCATGCGCAGTGCAGGGCAGAACGTCGAGGTACGACTTGGCAGTGCTACTCTGCGAAGGGTCTGGGGTTTAGGGTTCAGAAACGAGTCTAACAATCCCTAAACCCTGAACCGCCCAAAAGTAGTTGAAACTTCTTGCCTAACCCTCGTTCCATCACCCTACAGGCCCACCGTAGACCCAAGGTTTAGGTTTAGGGTCAATCGGAAAGAGCCTTCTCTTTAAGCTTTCATCCCATGGGCCCTAATCAGCACTTTCGGGTTTAGAGCTTAGGGTTTAGGGCTTGGGGGTGAAAGCTGCTCAGCATAGCACGTGGTTGATCGCAGTTCCGTTCAGAGCCAACGCCTGTGCAGGCAGCTTCTATGTCCCTTTAGGGTTCAGCATTTAGGGTTTTGGGTTTTGGGTTTGGGGCTTGAAGGTCTAGGGCTGATCCGCTCGCAAATTGAACTGCTTCCCTTGCCCAAGTCCCTGAGGGTCCATGTAGCTTTGCAGCATATACTTGGGCCTGCAACGGGCTTCCCATATAGTAGCTCTATATCAAGGGACTCAATGGACGGACCCTTATAAGGACCTTAGGGGATATTTAGGGGCCACTTAGGTATACAGAGACTATATATGGTATGTTGAAACCCTAAACCCTAAACCCTAAACCCTAAACCCTAAACCCTAAAGGGTCATATAGGGGAATAAGATTAAGGGGTCCCTTCTAGGGTTCCTCCGTGTACCCCTCCACGATACGGTGACGCCGCCAAACTTAAAACATCCGGAAGACAACTTTCAATTGGACGGGTTGGGGTTTAGGGTTTAGGGTTTAGGGCTTAGGGCTTAGGGCTTAGGGTTTAGGGTTTAGGGTTTAGGGTTTAGGGTTTAGGGTTTAGGGTTTAGGGTTTAGGGTTTAGGGTTTAGGGTTTCGGGTTTAGGGTTTAGGCTTCAGGGTTTCTCCTCCAGCCCTCCAGCCCTGCCCTCCAAGACTCACTCCTTGCCGATGAATTAGGAACCCCCAACCCCTGCTGAAAGCGACTTAGAACCACTTTGGAAATGAGTTCCTTCGTCAGTGAAAAGATTGAAGCGCACGCCTCTTCAGAAACCCCCGTGCGCGCAGCGCAATGTTGGCTGAGCAGTGGCTGACACTGCCCAGTCATGAAAGATGGCCGTGAGGCACTCCAACACTGCATGCACCGATTACATGTTTATACGGTGATTGGATTCCATTGGTGGGCGTTGCCGTGGCTCTGCGCGAACATGGCGCACAAGACCTTCTTGACCAAAGGCTTGTAATGCATCTTCTTCGGGAGATAGTCGTTCCAGTCAATGCCGGCGAGATAAGAGCAGATCATTTCGAACCTTTTGAGCTCGTGGAACTTGTCGGCCTTCGTCAGAAGCTTCATGGTCCAGTTCTTGTTAGTCTCCTTTTAGTACGTACATCAAGAGCGCCTCTTTGATGTTCGACTTCCCGGCGCCCTTGACGTAAATCAAGGTCGAGTGGAGCCAGTCACTGGGAAGGGTTGAGGCTTCTTTGAAATACTCGTCCTTCTAAGGGTACCCTTTTTGGTTTAAAAGGGGCTTGAAGGGAACCTAAACCCGACAAAAAGGCAGGGAATAAGCGCCTACCCTGGGTCCTAGTTACATGGACCCTTAAGGAGTCCGACTTGGATACTATTAATCGGGAACATCCCAAGGTTTAGGGTTTAAGGTTTGCAACAACTCCTTAGGAATCAGGTGCCTCGTGGCGTGCAAGCCCCTAGACCCGAAACCCTGAACCCTTCATCCTAAACCCCTAACACCCGATGAAAAACCCTAAGCCCTTAACACACAAACCTACAAACACAAAACCCGAACGAACCTCAAAACCCGAAAAAAAACCCTAAAATCCCCCAACAAGACCCTAACAAAACCCCTTACAACCCTAACAACCCCATAAACCCTAAACTCCCCAATATAAAGTACAACGAACAACGCAAGAGCCCGGCTGGGCCTCTTGGCAGCATGGTTTAGTGTGAAACTCCGGAAAAAAGCATGTTCAGGGTTCAGGGACTTAGGGTTGAGGGACTTCGGGTTTTCAGCTTAGGATCGTAGGGTTTAGGGTTCAGGTTTTAGGGTTTATGGTTTAGGGCTTCGGGTCGTAGGGTTTAGGGTTTAGGGCTCGGGGGAACATATGCTGCCTTGGCTTGATTTTCCGAAGTAGTTGGTGCTAATTTGCACACATGGAGTGTTATCTACTGTTATATTGCCTTGGGCGGCACTTATGCAACTAGTGCCCTGTTTTTGATACGGCCCCCTGACTGTGTACTTTCCCAGGTCAGGGACAGGGGGCAATCCACAACCCCTCCCCCCCCCCTCCCCACCCCCCCCCCCCTCCCCACCCCCCCCCCTCCCTCCCCCCCCCCCCTAAACCCTAAGCCCTAAGCCCGAAGCCCGAAGCCCGAAGCCCTAAGCCCTAACCCCTAAGCCCTAAACCCTAAACCCTAAACCCTGACCCTACGCCCTAACCCTAAACCCTGAACCCTGAACTGAACCCCTAAACCATAAACCCGAAACCCGAAACTAAACCTAAACCCTATCCTCCCCCCCCCACCCCCCCCCCAGCTCCCCCACCTGGAAGGCAATGTTTGGGTCATTTCTGAGGAGCCGGGAAGCCCAGCACAAGGCGTTGCCATTCTGGGCCACGGCCGGCAAAACGACCTGACATCATGGGTAGGGTTTAAGGTTTAGGGTTTAGGGTTTAGGGATTAGGGCTTGTGGCTTAGGATTTAGGATTTAGGGTTCAGGGGCACTTATTAACCAATTATAACTGTACTGATAACCATACTAGGGCACTTCAGGGCCTTATGTTATATGTGGGTTGTAAGGACAGTCATCATTGGTTAATAAGTACCATGAACCTCAAGCAGAACATGGCATGCACTCTCTACAGCAGGGTTTCAGAGTTTTGGGTTTGAGGGTTTGAATTAAAGTTTGGCGGGGGGGGGGGGGGGGTAAGAGGGCTTAGGGTTTTGGGGTATCGGTCTTTAGGGTTTATTTAGAGTTTAGGTCCAGGTTCACATTACTTAAAGTGTACCGTGTTTCCAAGGCAGGTTTCGGGTTTACTGATGCAGGATGATGCGCTCTGAACGATGTAAATTGATATGTAGGGCCCAAAGCCCGAAACCTGAACACACTTCCTAAGGGTCCATGTACCTCTAGAGTATATACTCGGGCCCTAAAGCTACTCTATAGGGAGCCCTTTAACCAATTATCACTGCACCTATGAGCCCCTATTCAGTGCCCTAAGATGGTTGTAAGTACAGTTAGAAGTACAGCTGTAGTTGGGTAATACGTACGTACCATGAACCTCCAAGTAAGGCTACTATATAGGGAACCCTTTAAGGCTCCAAGCCCGAAACCCTAAACCCTAAACCCTAAACCCTAAACCATAAACCCTAAACCCTACACATAAACCCTAAACCCTAAGCCCTGAACCCTAAACCCTAAACCCTAGTATATACTTCAGCTACATGGACCCTTGGGGACTGCGAAACCCAGCCTCCGGATCAGCACGAAGGTCCGGATGCGCGAACCTCGAGATAGGGTTTAGGGTTTAGGGTGTAGAGTTTCTGGCCTAGGGTCTAGGGTTCATCTTAGGGTTTAGGGTTTAGGGTTTAGGGTTGGCCTGCTAAAGCCTCCGAAAAAAAGCGTCCCACTTAAGTGTTTCGGGTTTAGAGTCAGAAGTTTCAGGGTTGACTGAGGGATTCGGAGTGATTTCCAATACAAGATCCGCTGAAATACAAACTAGACCCAAGAGTAGCCTGGCAAAAAAAAAGTGTAGTCTTTCTGGTTTGCAGGGCCTGAGAAGGGAACCTGAAGCCTAAAAAGAAGAAATTATCAAGGGCCTACTCTGGGTCCTAGCCGTGCACCCTAGACCCTAGACCCTAGACCCTAGACCCTAAACCCTAAACCCTCAAAACAGACAGGAACGAAGGCCTACCCTCGTAACATCCCAAGCCCTTAAACCCCGAACCCTAAACCCTAAACCCTAAACCCTAATTTATAAGCCCTAAGCCCTAAGCCCTAAGCCCTAAGCCCTAAACCCTCAGGGTTTAGGGTGTAGGGCTTAGAGGTCGATTATGCGTTCGCAAGCCAACAGGGCGCAGGCAGGGTTCAGGGTTCAGGAGGGTGTTCATGGGTCTTATGGGCCTTGCGAGCTCGCAAAAATCATTTTAGGGTTTAGGGTTTCGGGTTTGGGGTTTAGGGTTTAGGGTTTAGGGTTTAAAACCCTAAACCCTAAACCCTGAACCCTAAACCCTAAACCCTAAACCCTCTACAACACCAGCCCGGTGGCTGAAGGGCCAAGCCATTTTGGGCCACTGCCTCAGCGGGCGACGGTTTAGGGTTTAGGGATTTGGGTTTAGGGTTTTGGGTTTAGGGTAACCCTAAGGGTCCATGTACCTAAATAGGGAATACTTGGGCCTTAAAGTACCTCCTATGTAGGGACTTTAGGGCCCAAGTACATAACAATGAGGTACATGGACCCTTAGGGCGTAAGGTTTGGGGTCGAACGGTTTAGGGACCCCCTTCTCGAGTGACAAGACCTAGGTTCCAGAACGGGTTTAGGTGCCATTTCAGGCCAAGACCCACAGGCCCTGCACTACATTCGTGATCTTTTTTGGGAGCGTGCACTCGATTCTCGTCAGGGTTAGGACCCTAACCGGGGCAACAAGTGTCTGGCAACAGGAAGGCTGAGGGTTTAAGGTTTAGTCGGTTCAACTGCGTTGGCCTTACTTAGGGATTACCCGCTCCCCTCACCCTCACCCCCCTACCGCCATCTCGATTGATCATCTCAAACCCTAAACCCTTAACCCGCAACACTGGGGCCGCGACTGCTAAGACCGTCCTGCGGGTGCGCTGCAGCCGCTTGGAGACATGTTGCAACCTGGCAGTCGGCTGGTATATATGGGGTTTAAGGTTTAGGGTTTAGGGCTTAGGGCTTCGGGTATGGGGGGGGGGGGGGGATTTTGGGGTACTGAATTCGGGTACTTATTATAAGGGGATATCTTCGATTTGGGGGTCTATGTTCCGGTTCCCGTAATTTCGTAAACACCCATATCCCTAAACCCTAAACCCTAAACCCTGAACCCTAAACCCACACAGTATGGGCCAAGCTAAATGGCTGAACGGTCAAGGGTTTGGGGTTTAGGACTCGGGCCACGCAACTTTCATTGCTTTGAAGAATGCCTGCAGCCAGAAAAGCAGCTTTAGGGTTTAGGGTTTAGGGTTTAGGGTTTAGGGTTTAGGGTTTAGGGTTTAGGGTTTAGGGTTTAGGGTTTAGGGTACCAGGTGCATGAAAACCCTGACAGCTAGTCTCTGAACCCCTGAACGCTGACCCCACAAACGGCAATCAACGCGTGTTGCTCGGAAGCACGACTACCTAAACCCTAAACCCTAAAGTTGTTTATACAAACATAATAATGCCGTATACCATTTACAACCCTAAACCCTAAACCCTAAACGCTAAACCCCAAACCCTAAACCCTAAACCCCAAGAGAAGCCGGGGTCCCCCACGCCATGCCATTGCGCGCCAGCGCGCGGAGGACGAAGTCCTCGTTGTCCTGTGGCGCTCAAAGGGCTCGGGTTTGGAGTTTAGGGTTTAGGGTTTAGGGTTTAGGGTTTGGGGTTTGGGGTTTAGGGTTGAAACAAACTGCGGTTCCGAATGAACTGCTGCGTTTCGCCTATTTGGTCCTACGCTACCCGAATCCTTTCAAGAATCCCTAGCCTCGCCCACCCTGAACCCACCCAGGCACCCTACCCTACCGTACAAACCCTAAACCCTAAACCCTAAACCCTAAACCCTAAACCCTAAACCCTAAACCCTAAACCCTAAACCCTAAACCCTAAACCCTAAACCCTAAACCCTAAACCCCAACCCCCAACCCCATCCTAGTCCTGCCCCACCTAAATCCCTAGCCCCCACCCATCCCCAGAAAAAAAGAAACGGGTTTGAGCATGTTAGTGCATGATCGCCACGGCCGTCTATGGCTGAGAGCAGGCAATGACATGTTTAGGGTTTAGGGCCAGGGTTTAGGCTTAAGGGGAGTTAGGTTTTGGGAGGTTTTGGGGCATTTGGGTTGAGGGTTTTAGGGCTTCAGTTACGGTTTGGGGTACTAGGGCTTTAGGGTCCTGTTGGCTCAAGGTTCTAGGGCAGATATGTTTGAGGGGCATTTGTGGGTTCTTCACGACTTAGGTGTTGTGTAGGTTCAGGCTTTCTTGGCTTAAGGTTGATGGTTCGAATTCCGGGACTGAGGGTTAGGATTGTGTTTACGACCTGTGGGTTTCTTGGGGATCCGAGGGTTTGTGGCGGTTTAGGGTTTAGGGCTTCGGGTTTAGGGTTTAGGCCGCATGACTCTTGACCAGCGAGTGTCGATTTAAAATAGTAGTGGCACTGGCAAGATGATGACGATGGTGATGGTGGTGATGGACCGATGGAGACAGTGTTCCTACACAAACCCTTCCCAGAGGGTCCATTTGTAGTACTATTATGGATTTAGGTACCCCAAAACCCTATTTAGTATGGTTTTGTGTACTTAATGCCATAATACTGTTGATGGACGAAATCCTGCATCATTTTATCATGCAGCTCATCCCTTCCAAACCCTGAATCTTAACATTGCCGTCCTTGCAATGCTTCGAAAGTGCATGTGTGTGAATGACCGGAATCCTGCATCACCCATATGCGCACGCAACATTGAAATTCGACGGGTGCGGGGAGCTCGATTACCAACCGTCGCACACGTGTAACGCAGGGGGTCATGCAAGATTTTGTCCATCCACAGTCTCGGACAAGATAATTGACTGACTTGTTGGCAAGAGTTGTTGCTGGAATGGCTTTTGGGAAGATTGTCGGAGAATGGCCTTTGGGAAGAATGTCGGAGATGTACTTTTTGCAGCTTCAAGCCTAAGCTCTCCTCTTTCTCGGGTGTGGCAAGAGCAGAAATGTCGCGTTTTTCAAGTTTCAAATTCGTTTCTGTAGTTTCAAATTAGTTTCAAAATAGTTTCAAAATCCAGTTGCGAAATCGCTGTTAAGGGGAAACTGCGTTTTCCTACGTGCGATTCAAAAAATGCAGGAATCTCAGAGATTCCTGTTTTTCAAAAAGCGCGGACAGAAATTGCAGTTCCCCCTTAACAGCGATTTTGCAACTGGATTTTGAAACTAATTTGAAACTGACTGGAAACTAATTTGAAACTATGGAAACAATTTGAAACTTGAAAAATACCACATTCCGGACTTTCTGCCCCATCCTGGCCCCTCACATACGGCCCTCAGTTGACTTTGGTCAGCCGTGACTAGAGACCAGAGTTTCCGAAAACTTGCAAGTCTCCAGACAGTAGTACTACAAATGGACCCTCTGGGCTTTACTCCAAACCCAAACCCGCTAAAAGCATAGTTGCGCCGAAGGCCTGTTGGATGGGGGCTACAAGGATGGGGGGGGGCTGGAGGGGTTTGACAGAACTGGTAAGGGGGCATCAAAATGTCGCACCAGTTACATGCTCTGAAGTCGTCCAGGCGGTTTAGGGTTTTACTGAAGGTGGGGGGTTAAGGGCCTCTACCTCTGAGGGGTGTCTTTCAGTTCGGGGGGTTAGGTGTAGGGCTTAATTGCTGGACAGGGGTACCTTTGATCTGGAAAGCAGTGCAGAAGCTGCCACCAAGGACTAAACACTTGTGGCAGAGTTTGGGGGTGAGTGTGTAGGATTTAGGCCAGTAAGCCCATCATCCACCAAGGACTACATCACATCCTACATTGCGAGTTAGGAAGCACGTGCATTCTCCAAGCCCTGCCGAAAAAAAACTAGGATGGCTCATTAAAACCCTCCGAGAACATCCTAAAGATGGTTCTCTTGAACCCAATCTGGGCACATCACACAATACCCCAAGGGCCTAAACCCTAACCCGATAACCCCAAACTTCACCCTAAACCCTAAATCCTAAACCCTAAACCCCAAACTTCGAACCCCAAACCCCAAACCCTAAATCTCAACCCCCGAAGGGCCCCTGGCCTGAAACCAGGGCATCGTGCTCATGCACATGGGGTTTATCCGGATGGCCTCACTTGCTGCTCAAGAGTACCTAGTTAGGGTTTAGGATTTAGGGTTTAGGGTTTAGGGTTTGGGGGTTAAGGGTTAGGGTTTAGGGTTGAATCAGTGCTGCTCACTGAAGCCGGTCCAGGTTGAATCCGCTCCTAAGGCCGTGTCTTTTCTCATGAGCCCCTAAACCCTAAACCCTAAACCCTAAACCCTAAGCCCTAAGCCCTAAGCCCTAAACCCTAAACGAGGTAACCCAGGAACCACGCTACAAGAAGTACAAGTTCTGGACTCAGGTGGTGTCAGGCTTTCAAGGAATTGGGCTTACTGCCTTGAGGGTTTCGGCGTTTAGGGCTATGTAGCGACCCAAAACAAGGGCCCCAAAAATGAGAACTCTTCAAGGGGTTAAAGGGGCTAAGACTCGTACCCCTAAGGTTGTACCCCTAAAGGTTTCCCTTAGTATACTCCTCGTATGACCCATGACCTATGACCTATGACCCTTGATCCATGACCCATGACCCATGACCCATGACCCTAAACCCTAAACCCTAAACCCTAAACCCTAAACCCTAAACCCTAAACCCTAAACCCTCCCTTAAAGGATCTTTAAATCAACTCCCCCCCCCCCCCCCCAAACCCAAACCCAAGGGTAAAACCTAGTGGTCCAAGGTAGAGCCCCTTTGAACTCTACCTTCAAGCGCGCACCCCAAGCCCTAAACCCTAAACCCTAAACCCTAAACCCTAAACCCTTTGCAGCCTCCAGGAGAAGATCCGGCGCCTGCCGCCGGCCGCGCAAGTTCAGGGTTCCAAGGTTTAGGGTTTGGGGGTGAGGGTTTAGGGCTCAGAGTTTTGGGGTTTTGGGGTTTTGGGGTTTCAGGGTTTTGGGAGTCAGGTGGGGTTCGCAACAGGGCGACGAGGTTGAGCAGAATGAAGGATTTAGTTGCAGAAGGCCAATAAAAGCTACTATTCGGGTTTAGGGTCCGTCCTACACAAGCCTCATAAGCCCTAAAATCCTCATAAGCCCTAAACCTAAACCATAAACCCTAAATTGGTGGTCATCCCTGACATGCTCCCCCCGCATCAACTCGATCCCCACACTTTTAACGGGTTCAGATGCCGTTTCTAGGGGAAGACCCTCCGCCCGAAGAGCTGTGGGAACTTGACCCTAAATGACACGACAAGCCTCCGCCCAAAACCGTTTGAGAACCCTTGACCCTACTACAAGACCTCAGCCAACACTCCAAGTCCAAAACACTGAAAGGTTCTGCTAAATCCTTCGAAAATGCAAATCCCCCTAAACCGTAAACCGCAAAACCCCCAAACCCCAAACCCCAAACCCCAAACGCAAAACCCAAACCCCAAACCCCAAACCCTAAACCCTAAACCCTGAACCCTAAACCCTAAACCCTAAACCCTAAACCCTAAACTAACGGGGACCTCCCAGAGATCTACCGGGGCGAATCGCAAGGCCGAAGCGGTACGCGTGGCTGCCTGGACGTGCCACTGACAGAGTCAGGGGGTTTGGGTTTAGGGTTTAGGGTTTAGGGTTTGGGGTTTGGGGTTTCGGGTTTAGGGTGTAGGGTTTAGGCTTAGGGTTTAGGGTGTATGGGATGTCCGTTGCAATTGCCCAGTACGAAGCCCACTCCAAGGGGCGGCAGCTTGCACATGCGGCCCTCATAGAGGGTTGAAAGTGTGACCAAGGAGCCGTTAAACTCCACAATGGCACGCATGCCTTGGACCAGTTTCTTGTCCACCTTGGCTTGTGTCGACCAGGTGTTAGGACGGAGCTGCAAAAGAGCTTGCCATACCTGCTGCGAAAGATGATGTAGACATCCTTCACGGCATCGCCAAGGTCTTGAGACATGGTTGTCCAAGCAAAGGCTCCGCACCTCTTGCTCAGCTGGGTTGGCCTTTAAACCCTTCAAAACAAATCTTGATATGTAGGGCCCCTTACAAACCCAAATAGCACGTTGTAGACTTCCTGTGTGGCATCGGGGGGGGGGGGGGGGGGGGTATGCGAAAATGAGGGCCCCTGGTATATAGGATCCCCTTATACTAAGGACCCCAAGAAGGTACCCCTAAACCCTAAACCCTAAACCCTAAACCCTAGACCCTAAACCATAAACCCTGAACCCTAAACCCTGAACCCTGAACCCTAAACCCTAAACCCTAAACCCTAAAAACCCTAAAAACCCTAAACCCTATAAACCCTATAAACCCTATAAACCCTATAAACCCTATAAACCCTATAAACCCTATAAACCCTATAAACCCTATAAACCCTATAAACCCCATAAACCCTATAAACCCTATAAACCCTATAAACCCTATAAACCCTATAAACCCTAAACCCTAAACCCTTCATTTAAGGAATGCACCTCGAACCTGTGTAGGGGGCGCTATTCACAAATTACGCGGCGCTGGCTGTTCTGAGAAGGAGAAGGGTTCAGGAGTTACCACAGCCACAAACCCCAGGACCAAAAGGTTTAGGGTTTAGGGTTTGTTTACGGATCTACCGTAGGGTTGATTGTGCTGGGTGAACCATTCAAACCCCACACCTGAAAGAATAAAGTCCTGAACCCCTAAAACCCCCAAGCCCTACACTTAAACCCGAAACACCTTGAACCCTAAAACCCGCGAGACCCACCGCACAAGCCTGATAAGGCCGCTGGCAGAATTCCGCATCACTGAACTTTAAGGTATAGCTGAGGGTTTTGGATTCAGCGTTTTAGTTGTTTCTTCGCCTGCCTATACCATATTTCACGCAAGCTCTTGCATGCTGCCATGAATCGTAAACCCTGAACATCGAATCCTGCACCCTAACCCCTGAACCCTATAGGGGCCTAAAGCCACAAACGCATGCCCTTATTCCCCAAGTGCCCTGTTTCAGCCGTACCCTGCCCTCGAACGCACTCATCTCTCTAAGCTTAAGCCTAAAAATACCCTAAGCCCGAGAACAAGAAACGCTACACGCCCTAAAGCAATAGACCCTACCGCGCCCTAAACCCTGAAGCCGAAAACCAAACACCCCCGCCCCCCCCCCCCCCCCCCCCCCAAACAAGAAACAAAATGAGTTTCAGCATATAAGCAAACCCTACAACAAAACACCCCTACCAAAACCCGAAGCCTCAAATCCAACACCACCGATGCCGAGCACGAACATCCCAGCACCAAAGCGTCAAACCTGCAAGCACTCACCGGAACCTTAAGTCTAGACCCCGAAACCCTAAACTCGAAACCCGAAACCCTGAACCCTAAACCCTACATCCTGAATCTAAGCTTTTCTGATCCCTACAAGCCGTAAACGCTACAACCTAAACCCTCAAACCCACAAGCCCTGAACCTTAATTAAACCCAAACCCCCAAGCCCTAAACCCTAAGCCCTAAATCCTAAACCCCAAACCCTAAACTCTAAACTCTAAACCCTAAACCCCACAACGCCTCGCCTTCAGAATGACCTCGGCGTCCCGGCGCAGAGGCGCCGAGGCAAACCGAAGAGCCTCAGGTGTTTAGGGTTTGGGTTTCGGGGCTCAACATAGGAGGTCTAAGATTGAGGGTTCAGTGTTGAGGTTGAGGCTTTAGACGGTTTAGGGTTTTAAGGCTAAACAGTCGATTGCCAGGAGGGGGCTGAGGAAGAAAACAGGGCCCCCATCCTCCTACTTTAGTGGGAGCCTAAACCCGAAAACGTAAACCCTATGCCCTATACCCAAAACTAAACCCTAGCCCTGTTTTTTGCGGCACCACCGCGACTTTGGCAGTGCGTGGGATGACAGGTTGTGACTCATGGACTTGAAGGCACGAAGGTTCTTGAAGCTTCGGGGTTGAGAGTTTAATATAAACCCCCAAGGAGTTGCGGAAAAAAACAAACTTCAAGAAAAAGCGCCCGTGTGCAGAGCACACTTCCCAGAAGCATGTAAAGTCAACGCAGCGCGTTGAACCCGAATCCCTACTAGACGCATAGTCAAGGCGCCAGCCCTGTTCGCTGGCTTTTCTAAAAATCAATTTGCTTTTCCTCTCCTTCTCTATCTCTTTCTTACACCTGGCTGTCCACTTCTTGATCTTGCCTTCTCAACTTTGGCTACGTCAGTTCGCTGTAGTTTCAAGCTCTGCGTGTGCTCCATGATATTGCCCCAAGCCGAGTCATAGCCTCATGCGCTGTGAAGGGCAAGTTGTGGGCGAAGTTGGCGGGGCACAACAGCATGATGTTGCCATTGCCAGAAGCTTGTGTCCCAAAGTCTATTTTCTTCACATCCCATGCTAATCTGGCCCTGTCCTCACCCACTTCTTCAGCCATCTTCTGCCTGCAGGATAGGGGAACCTCAAAAAAGTGCCCAGCATGCATCTTGATGCCATACCTAGCCACAATGATGGTAGTTTCTGCCATGTCAAGTGCACTTTGCAGTGCAACTGCAAGCTGCTCAGATGTGATGAACCTTTCACATCTGGAGATGGCTCTGACTGAGACCTCTGGCGCGGTAGGCCCCGTAAGCATTGGGTGACCTGTGCCAACACTCATAAAACGAGAGTGTTGCACTAAGCCACTTTAGGGTCTTATCCGGCCAGCACGGCTCTTCTTCATTTGCAGCCCTCTCCTTTTTCCTTCCTTCGCCTCCTTCTTCGTCTTCTGAACTTTCATGACTACTGGCTTGCCTTCTTCGCCCCCTTAGCTCGGCCTTTCCGAACCCTTTGCTTCTTTACTCCTCTCTTCTTCGGTCGGCGACTTGTCGCCTTCCTCGGCTTTCTTTTCTCCTTTGCCTTGTACCACGGCGGCGCGAATGACCTCTGCTGTCATCGTAAGGGGGTCGCGGCTTTGCCTCTCAACAGGCCTATTCTTCTTTTCTTGCGTTTCCTTCTTTCTCCTTTTTTCTATACTAGCATTGGAACACCAGCTGCCTTAAACTCTTTCAATTTCACCCTTCTAGCTGAAGCACTTACCAACACTGCTGCTCGCAATCCTTACAATTCGAGCAATCCCAGCTTCATCAAACCTGCCTATCTTCGCCTTCGTCTGCTTCAGGCACACCTACTTCTTCCAGAATTTCGGTTTCGCACTTCCAAATCTGAATGAAGGGGCCATCTTAGAGAACAAGCCTCACGTAAAGCCAAGCGGGACAAAAGGAATTGCTGTGGGACTTGCTGGGCAGCATCCCTCTTCCTCCCTCCTTCCCTTCCTTTCGTTTGCTTCTGTCAAGATCATGGAAGCGCCGGGATCTCCACACCATCTACTCTCTAATACTCACAACAACTCCGGCCGTAGCCGAGCTCGTCGAGCTGCCCCGATTGCTTTTTGACAGCACTGGACTCAGCTGCCACCACCAACGCATGAACTGTTAGCAGCATCTGGCTCAAGGATCTGTCGCGTGGTGTCTTCGCGTCGTGTCTTCTTGTCGTGTCCTGGTGTCGCGTTCTTCTGTCGTTTTCTCGTGTCGTGGGTTTAGGGTTGAGGGTTCAGGGTTTAGAGTTTAGTGTTTCGGGCCTGCCAACTCGGCACCCGAAACCCCAAGCCATAGAGGACTACTGTAAGGAACGACGAGATTCTCGCCCTAAACCCGAAACCCTGAACCCTGAACCCCAAACAGACTTGTAGGTGATGTTAGGAGACGTTGAGTTTTACCCCCCTCCCCTCCCCCTAACAACCCTAAACCCTAAGCCCTAAGCTCTAAACCCTAGACCCTAAACCCTAAACCCTAAACCCTAAACCCTAACCACGTGGCTTTATCGGGCTCATAATTTAACATCCTGAACCCTAAGCCCTAAGCTCTAAACAATAAACCCTTAAACTAGGGGTCAGAGTCCCCGCGTCGGCTTTTTCTCAAGCAATGACTTGTGGGTTCTGGGCAGGGCATTGTGGTACCCCGATGAAGTTCTCCTTACAGACTGCTATACACCCTAAACCCTAAACCCTAAACCCTAAACCCTAAACCCTAAACCCTAAACCCTATACAGGAGTAGGGTATAGGCTTTAGGGGACATGGGATACCACGCCCCGCTAAGAACTAGTCAGATGAGCGCCGCGATCGCGGATGAAGAGCTGTTCTCTTCAAGCAGCTGGCGTCTTACTATAACATGGTCAGGGGTTTAGGGTTTAGGGTTTAGGGTTTAGGGTTTAGGGTTTAGGGTGTAGGGTTTAGGGTTTAGGGTTTAGGGTTTAGGGTTTAGGGTTTAGGGTTTAGGGTTTAGGGTTTAGGGTTTAGGGTTTAGGGGCGTTAGGGGTCCCTTGAAAAGGTCCTATACTGTCATAATACACAGCAGGTACTTTAAGGCGCACGTCCTCCCCATTAAGGTACATGGACCCTCAGGGATCCCTTAAGGCTAGTAGGGTTTGGGGTTTAGGGTTTAGGGTTGAGGGTTTGTATACGGGCCATGTTTGTACGAGTCTTGGTCCCTTGATAGCCCGAGGCCTGAAGGCCCTAAGACCATGCTGAACTTGGAGCCCTAGCAACAAGTATCATTTTAGTTGTTTCTTAGGAAATATAGAAACCAAAAACTCAAACCTCATTTTCAAGTATCCCTAAGAAGATGCTAAAACCCCAAACCCTGCGCTCACTTCCACTCGTCCGCCGGCCGCCTTATTTCCGGCGCTTCTTGGCTGCAGCCTGCCCAGAGACCCTAAACCCTAAACCCTAAACCCTGAACCCTAAGCCCTAAGCCCTAAGCCCTAAGCCCTAAGCCCTAAGCCCTAAGCCCTAAACCCTAAACCCTAAACCCTAAACCCTAAACCCCAAACCCCAAACCCTATCGTTCCTTAAGGTTCAGGTTTAGAGCTTAGGGTTAAGGGCTGTCAGATTTAGGGCTTATAAGGCTCAGGACTTAGGGGTTCTAGGCTTCAGGGGCTGCAAAAGAACCCGGAACACTCACGAAACA